TTCCTTCCTTCCTTCCTTCCTTCCTTCCTTCCTTCCTTCCTTCCTTCCCTTTCCAGTCATGTCTCACTGTGTAGCTCTGGCTAGCTTGGACTTGGAACTCACTATATATATAGACTAGACTAGGTTGGTCTTGAATTTAGAGATCTGCCTGCCTGGGTCCCCTCGTGGGATTAAGTGCTGGGATTAAGGGTATATACCACTGTTGCTTGCTTTTGTTTTTAAAACCACGTTTTCATTTTTTTTAAGATGTATTTATTTATTTAATGTACACCAGTGCTCTGCTTTCATGCACACCAGAAGAGGGCATCAGATCTTATTACAGATGGTTGTGAGCCACCATGCGGTTGCTGGGAATTGAACTCAGGACCTCTGGAAGAGCAGCCAGTGTTCTTAACTGCTGAGCCATCTCTCCAGCTCCTAAAACCAACTTTTTCAAAGGTAGGTTGCAGGGCCAGTCAGATGGCTCAGCAGATAAAGTGAAAAGCCTGAAAACCTGAGTTTGAACCTCAGAAGCCAAACCAAAGTGGAAAGAGGACAGAGCCACCAATTATATAAGGCTGACCGCTGGTTTTCACACCCCTGACAGAATCCTATACACATACAATAACAAAGTTTTTGAAGAAAGCTGCAAAGTATACAAAATTTTCTATAAACTGGGAGGTAAGAGTTATATTGCTGGAGTTTAAACAAACTTCTTTGTTTCCTCATGTGTTAGGGCTAATAGTATTTATAAGGTGTGGTGGTTTGAATGAGAATGGTCCCAATAGGCTGATATATTTGAATGCTTGGTCTGCAACTGGTGGACTGTTTAGGCAGAATTAGGAGATCTGGCCTGTACCTTGTTGAAGGAAGTATGTCACTGAGGATATGCTTTGGGGTTTCAAAAGTCCACATGTGCGCATGCGTTCTCTCTCTCTCTCTCTCTCTCTCTCTCTCTCTCTCTCTCTCTCTCTCTCTCTCTCTCTTTCTCTCTCTCTCTCTCTCTCTCTCTCTCTCTCTCTCTCTCTCTCTCCTCTATTATAGTTACAATGAGTAACAACTAATAATATCTTATGAACAATAATTCAAAGGTTGAACATGAATAAGATATAAAATAATTTTCTTAATGCTGAGGATCTAAATTTAGTACTTCTCACATGCTAGGTAAGTGTTCTTACCAGATTATATCTCTAGAAGCAGGCAATTCTCTTGTCCAGGCAAATAAAATATCTAGAGTCTTGGACCTTTTCTCAAGTTACTACCTGTCTTAGTTAGGGTTTTACTGCTGTGAACAGACACCACGTCCAAGGCAATTCTTATAAGGACAACACTTTCTGTTTGTTTGTTTGTTTGTTTGTTTGAGACAGGGTTTCTCTGTGTAGTCCTGGCTGTCCTGGAACTCACTCTGTAGACCAGGCAGGCCTCGAACTCAGAAATCCGCCTGCCTCTGCCTCCCAAGTGCTGGGGTTAAAGGCGTGCACCACCACCGCCCGGCTAAGGACAACACTTAATTGGGGCTGGCTTACAAGTTCAGAGATTCAGTCCATTATCTTCAAGGTGGGAACATGGCAGCATCCAGGCAGACTTGGTGCAGGAGGAGCTGAAAGTTCTACATCTTCATCTGAAGGCTGCTAGCAGAATACAGACTTCCAGGCAGCTAGGAGTAGGGTCTTAAAGACCATGTCCACAATGAGACACCTACTTCAACAAGGCTATACCTTCAAACAGTGCCACCCCTTGGGCTAAGCATATACAAACCATCACATTCCACTCCATGACCCCCATAGGCTTATGGGGGCCATACCTAAACTTTTAGTCCAGCTTCTAAAGTCTCCATAGTCTATAGCAGCCTCAATGTTAAAAGTCCAAAGTTTCTTCTGAGATTCATCCAATCACTTAACTGTAGTCCTCAAAGCAAGACAGGAAACCAGCTGGGCAAACTCCTAACTCTGCATCTCCATGTCTGATGTCAAAGTAGTCTTCAGATCTCCAACTCCTTTTTCATCTTTGTTGACTGCAACAAACTTCTTTCTCCTAGTCTGTTTCTACTCCCTGTTAGCAGCTGTCCTCGGCAGGTATCTCACATCTCTGGCATCTTAATTTAACATCTTGGGGTCTCCAAGTTAACTTCAACTTCATAGCTTCTTGTTCCAATGTCTGGAATTCACACATGATCTTCTGAGCTCCTCCAAAGGACCTGGGTCACTTCTCCAGCTTGGCCTTCTGTAACACTCTAAGCTCTGGTTGATCCATTTTACTGCTGCTGCTGTTCTTGGTGGTCATCCATGGGACTGGCATCTCCAATACTCCCTCTGCAGCTAGGCTTCAGCAATAGCCTCTCAGAAGCTTTTGTCATGGTCCCAAGCCTACTTTACATGACCCCTTCAATCCTGGACCATCAACTGCAACTGAGGCTGCCCTTTCACCAATGGCCTTCCATGGCTTCTCACAGTGCCAGGCCTCAGCTGTTCTTCATGACCCCTTCATGCCTTCAAAGCCAATACCACCTAGGTGACTCTTACACATGACCAAGTACAGCTGCAGCATGAGGCACAACCTTGGCTATCTCTGGAATACAGCTTCTTTGTGCTCTCAGAAAACACTTCCCAGAAGATTTCACCTCAGTGATGCTGGTCTCTTCTTAATCACCACTAACTTCTTAGCTCCAGCTAACCAGCAGCCATTGTCCCAGTAGTTCCTTCTACTTTTCACTCTAAAGTCAGAGCCACATGGCTGAAGCTGCTAAGTTCTACTCCCTACTGGGGCTGGAACACAGCCCCCCTTATTCTATTACCAGGTTTCTGTTTTCCAACTCCCTCATTGCCTAAGCTTGGTTTTCCTGGAACTTGCTCTGTATATTGACCTTGAACTCAGAGATCTGTTTGGCTCTGTCTTCTGTAATGCTGGAATTAAAGATATGTGCCATCATGCCTGATTTTAAGCTTTTCTTCACCTAGAACCTGCTTTGTTCCAGGCCAACCTTGCACTCAGAGATCTGTTTGGCTTTGTCTTCTGGAATTAAAGGTGTGTACCACCATGACTGGATCTAGGACTTGTTTTAGCCCAGGCTAACCTTGAACTCAGAGATCTCCTTGCCTTGGTCTTCTGCTGGGATTCATAGCCACTATGCCTCAAAATCTCCACACCAAGATCCAAGTCAGAAACTTACACCTTCCAGCCTCAAGATCAGGATCACAGGTGAGCCTTCCAATTCTGAATTGTAGTTCATTCCAGATATAGTCAAGTTGACAACCAGGAATAGCCATTAGAATCCACCCCTTGTCAACCTGACACAAATAATATCTCATGTCCATGTGAAACAATAACAAGGTCATGAATACTTATATGATATAACTATTCCTCATACAATTGCAAATGCATTTGTAAATTTACAATGGGGCAATGTCCCTTGGGAACATTCTTATAGTATCTCTCTGTCTCTGTTTCTCTCTCTCTCAATCTCAGCTCTATTATATTTACAATGAGTAACAAATAATACTATCTTATGAATAATAATACAAAGGTTGAACATGAATAAGATATAAAATAATTTTCTTAATGCTGGGAATCTTAATCCAGTACCTCAACATGCTAGGTAAGTGCTCTCACCAGATTAGATCTCTAGAAGCAGGCATTCTTTTGCCTAGCCAAATAAAATATCTAGAGTCTTGGACCTTTTCTCAAGTTACTACCATTCCAGTTTTTATTAAAATCAGAAGAAATACTATACATGGAAGAAGGTTTGAATTTCCATGCGGCTAATACTTTTTCCAGAATTGACTGATTCCATCAGAAAGTTGTATGCATATTTGGACTTGACTATCTTGATGTCTGAAATACTTTGATGGTATAGTTTGTCTCCCCAAAGAGACAACTGACATTACTAACTTCATAACATTTGTAGATAGGGTTCTGAAGTCTCCTTACTCCTAAAGAACTGTGTACAACTACCTATAACTTCCAATACATCCCATCTGTCCTAAGGATGGCACTGTAAACAGTGTCCCTCACAGAAAAATCCACATCTAATTCTTTATTAGATTTAGGTCTCAAACACCTTTGCTTCTTTTAAGAAGCAAGTATATACTGGGTAGACAACAGTAATTGGGACAGTCTACAGCCAGTGAAGTAACTTACAACAGAACAGTGGACAGACTTGGATTTATGCCATTCACTTAAGAAAACCAGTATAAACTACTATAGGGAACCAGCTCCAGAAGTACTGTAGATTCTCCGCTATGGTCTTTTTACCCTGCAGTCACAACATTCATGAAGATTTCACCAGAGGTCTCTTTATAATATGTCTTTTATTAAAAACAAAACTCACATATCTGACCCTATATAATACTGCTACAAGTTATGATCCTAAAGGTCATAGAGATTTGCCATATAATTCAAGAAACTCCCTAAAATTGCAAAAGAGAAGTCTTATGGTTTGGCTATGAAGTATCCCTCTCAAAGGGCCATGTGGATCCCTGCTGATGGACTTAATCACACAGAGTGACTCTGCTCCATGAGGGTTCTGCTTTCATCAGGGAGTTAGTCCCTTGTGTAGTCATTAGAAGGTGATATAAAAATAGGAATTGGGACTTGTTTGGGAGGAAGGAAGTTACTGTGAGTATGCCTTTGCAGAGTATATCTTGTCCCCAGCCTCTTCTGTGTCGTTACTCTCTGTTTCCTGGCTCTCATGAAGTGGGGAACTTTCCAACACCAGTGTCCTCCCAAGATTTATGTCTCGATATGGCTGGGAAACCACAGAACCACTCACCATCTCCCTGTGTATGGCTCATTGTATGTGTATAGAACTCAGTAGGTAGGTCAGGTGGTCTTAAACTTACAGAGATTTGCTACCCTCTGACTCCCAAGTACTGACATTACTCTGTTACAGCAACTAGCATAAGTACACACCTCGGATTTCTTCCAGAATTCTATATCTAGTGATTGCTTCAGAAAACAAACAACCAGGGTATCTTGGTAAAGAGTTAAGGGGAAGGGTTGGAGAGATGGCTCAGCAGTTAAGAGCACTGACTGCTCTTTCAGAGGTCCTGAGTTCAATTCTCAGCAATCACATGGTGGCTCACACCATCTGTAATGAGATCGAATGCATTCTTCTGGTGTGTCTGAAGACAGCTACAGTGCACTCATATACATAAAATAAGTAAATAAATCTTTTAAAAAATAGTTAAGGGGAAAGCTCAAATCAAAAGATTACTCTTTATCCTAACGTGAACTATAGTGAGTCGACGTGCTTTATAGGTCTAACACATAGGGTGGCTCTAGAACCTTAAATGATGCCAGTGTCTTACATCTGCTCAGCATGTCCTGTCTTAAACACTGTCATACGAGCAACTCTACTGCAGACAGTGCAGCTCCTAAAATTCCTATTCTGTAGAAGAGAAAATGAAACCTAATTTACCAAACTCATTGATTTAACTTGGATCACCACAGTGGAAGACTGGGCCCTGTATATAGAATTTGGGACTTTTCTGAACCATCTCCTAAAATTTTTTCATATTTAAAACTATTGTGACTATTCAAAATAACTGACATTCAATAGTTAAGTACAATTACACTAACCGGTAGACTGGATTTTGAACTCGAAGTAGCTTTTGTTCTGATGTAAGGGCGCGCTGGCTAAACAACCACCGGTGCCACAGATTCTTCTTCCATTTTTCACGATGACAACATCTGTTCCTAAACAAAACACAAGTACCACAATCACAGTTCATTTGCGCACTAGCCGTGTAAGTGTAACAGAGGGGGTGGGAGGGAGAGCAAGTACACAGGTGTGGTCATCGAGGTCACTATCAGGTGTCTTCCGCCATAGCCTCCCACCTTATTTTCTGACTGGTTAGACTGGCTGGCCATTGAGCTCCTTAGATTTTCTTGTTCTGGCCTATCAGTGGCTCAGTTACAGAAATGTGCTGTCGTGCCCAAATTTGTGTGGGTTCTAGGGAACCCAAGCATGGGTCATCACACCACAAGCACTTTATCCACTAAGCCAGTGCCCTGGGCCCATTCAGTAATTCAGTCAACAACTGTAACAACAAACCAGGAACATTATTAGTCTTTTCAAATTAAGGGAATATTGATAGATTATTTTAAATATTTTATTTTCCACTTTTTAAGAGACTGCTTGTACACAGTATTCATTTGTAACAAGTCTTTTTCAACTAAGCTGTTTCAGATAAACTAAATTATGCTGAGTATTTAAATTCTTTGTCAGGGGGTCAGTGAAATGGTTTATCTGGAAAAGGTACTTGCCAAGCCTAATGACCACCTGAGTTTGACCTCAGGAACTGACATGGTGAATTGACTCCCAGAAGTTGGTCCCTGGCTTGACATGTGAGCCATAGCACACGTGTGTCACCATAAATGCATACAACATAAATAAAATACATAAAAAACATTTATAAAGTAGGAGACTAACTCATTTAATTTTAACCAATAAACAGATTAGATAATCTAACAATTTTCATGTAATACAAGCCATAAAGACTTTAAAAACTTAGCATACTGGTACAATTTTCAATTCCAACCAAATGACTTAAGACAGTCTATTAAAAGACTTTGAGCATCTACTAAATAGAAGCCATTACCAACAGTCTTATACTTACTAAGGCTCACCCTGGTGGTCAAGTAAGAGTAGAGGAGTACCTCAATGACGGGAAGGAACAGCTTCATGTTGAAATGGCTGACACAGAAAAACTTAGTTTTAGGATCTTTACATGTTCACTAAGAGAACTATTAGTCATATGGCAAAAATGTAAGCAAGTTTGTTAGTTATGAGACAGGGTCTCTCTGTATTGCCTGTACTAGTCTCAAACTTTTGATTTTTCTTTCTCACTCTCCTGAATGGGATTACAGATATGTTCCACAATGCCCCACTATAAATAAGATCTTAACATCATTAAACACACTTTATTTTCATAGTAAAGTTTAGTTTCATCTCAAACAACTTCATAGACGACAGCAAGAAAAAACTGCTTTTGAAATATGAACCTACTAATACTTTGTTTCTGAATTTTGGCATAGGAAATCAAGTACATCAGAAATCATGAATAAAGCACAATTATTATATGTAAGAAAAATCTTTTAACACTAATATATGTGACTTCCAAGTCTATGGCCATTATTATCTCCTCCCTGGCAATAAAAGCATAAGCCAACAGATACAGATATTAGGACTAAGAGGTACTCCTTCGGAAGGGCCTACATAAAACTTGACGATGGTAATAAAAGGCTGAGTTCCTACTTAAAACAATCATTCTGAACTGGTTGTTTTAAGACCATATACTGTCAAGGTAAATGCATTTTTTATTTGTTTGCTAAATTAAAAATGTTAAGGGCTGGCACCTGCCACAAAGCCCCAGAAGACCTGAGTTTGATCCCTGGAACACACATGGTAGTAAATAGTCCTCTGATCCATGTGTGCACGGGTGCTCGCAGACACAGAGACACAGACACAGACACACACAGACACACACACAGACACACAATTTCTGAGCTGGAGAGATGACTCGGCAGTTTCAGGCATTTGCCACCAAGTATAACAACCTTCCACATGTTGGAAGGAGAGAACCACTTCTTGCAAGTTAACGCTGACTATGGTGGACCATACCAGTAGGATATGCTGAAGCAGCAGAGGCAGGAGAATCACAAGTACAAGCAATCCTCTGGTTCCACATCTGTTTCTAAACACACACATATATGCAATTAATAAATTGCAATTTTAAAATGAAAACAAAACCATGAAATTATTGCAATAAATGTTATAAATGATTTGCATCTGACTACCCCATATAACTCTAGTAGTTTTAAATAAAGCGTCTCTTCCTTGATGTCAAAGACGGTATAATGCTTGGCTTCTAATAGGTGCTTAGTAAATATCTTCAATAGGAATAAATAAACAAGCTATGCTAAGCACTTTGTAGAAAACATAGCATGTGCTTTCCTTTTAAGGACAGACTTCACTCTTGAAATCCAACAATTCTAAGGATTCAATCTTAGGCTTCAGTATTTGATGTGGGTTAAGTCATTTAGTACACTTGACATTGTGTGGTCACACTGATTAGATCAGGAGCAATTACATGACGTAACAAACAATAATCAGGGAAAGTATCAGGACTTCTACAGAGAATAACTGAAGACATTGTTCTTGTTGGACAGTATGAGAAAAAATAGCTGGGCATGGTGGCACATGCCTTTAATTCCAGTGCTTGGGAGACAGAGGCAGGTAGATCTCTATGAGTTTGAAGCCAGACTGGTCCACAGTGAGAGTTTCAGGACAGCCAGGGCTATTACACAGAAAAACCCTGTCTCAAAACACCACCTCAGACTCCCTTCCCCCAAAAAAGAAAAGAAAAAGTAGAGAATTGCTGCAAATGACCATGGCAACTAGCCTTCTGGGGTAGGAAACAGAAGGCAGGAGATTTAACAACAATTACACTAAAACCCAAACAAACATAAAGCACATCTCTGGCAGCACTGTGTCTTTTCCTGAAGCCAGGGCTGCCTTTGTACTCTTGTGTCACAAGAATAAAATTCCTCCATCATGTAAACAATTCTGAGTTGTAATTTGTAGTACTTGAAATTGAAAAGGTTTTCAGTGAAACACATTTCCAGGAGTTATGCAAATAAATGATACTTTCTTTTTCTGAACCGGTCTTCCACACATACCCTGTCTCTATAATCATTTACTGCTTTTCATCTCATCCTATGGCACAAAGTTAATGGAAATATGAAAAGATTTTCAAAACAACTAGGCTATTTGGTGAGTTGGAACTTCAGAAACAATTCTAAGTACATCATTCACTCTTACTTTGATGTATTTTCTTACTGAGACAGTTAGTTAATGCAGAAAGGTGAATATTCCAGAGATCATTCGAGGGTGTTTGTGAATTAGTAGAAAATAACTTCAAGCTTACTTCTCTTTAATTAGTACAATGATATTTTGTATTTGGATCTAAGTAGCTCAGATAGTTTTATTAATAACTGGTACTACTTTGAAAAATCAAATCATATTTGAGTACAGATAGACCATTATATAAACACAGCCATAGAATGTGTGTTAATAAACATTAGAAATGCCCAAATGAATAGTGTCTTAGTTAGGTTTCTATTGCTATGATAAACCACTATGACTAAGCAACTCAGGGAAGAAAGGGTTTCTTTCACTTACAATTCCATATCACAATCTATATAAAAGGAAGATAGGCTGGGCGGTGGTGGCGCACGCCTTTAACCCCAGCACTTGGGAGGCAGAGGCAGGCAGATTTCTGAGTTCGAGGCCAGCCTGGTCTACAGAGTGAGTTCCAGGACAGCCAGGGCTACACAGAGAAACCCTGTCTCAAAAAAAAAAAAAAAAAGGAAGATAGGCAGATAGGCAGATCCTTAAGGCAGGAACCTGGAGGCAGAAATTGAAGCAGAGGCCATGGAGGAACTCTGCTTACTGGCCTGCTCCTCCTGGTTTGCTTAACCTGCTTTCTTATGCAACTTGGGACAACTTGACATGGGCTGGGACCATCTACAACAATCATTAGCCAAAAAAAAAAAAAAAAAAAAAACACAAAGCAAAAAGCAAAAAGCAAAAAAAAAACCAAACAAACAAACCCCAAACAAAACTCTACAAACTTGCCTACCAGCAATCTGGATGGAGGCATTTTCTCACTTGAGGGTCTTCTTCTTGCCAGATAACTGTAGCTTGTATCAAGTTGCCAAAAATAAATAAATAACAGTAACAAAACACAGCTAGGATGAGTACATCCCTTTCAAAATAACTACCTTTAAAGTTATTTTTTCCTAAAAGACCAATTTACAATTATACGAGTCAAAAAACATTTTTAAAACTCCAAAATGGTTTTAAGTAATGCAACATCATTGTTTAGATATGAAATGTATATTTTCTTTTTCTAGAAAAAAGGAAAGAAAGTGAAAAAAGCAAGTTGGGCATGGTGGTACACACCTGTAGTCATGTGGAAAGCTGAGGTGGCAGCAAAGTAGCTTGAGCCCAGGAAATGGCGACAACCTGAACAATATAGAGACTAACTCCCTTCAAAAACAAAACAACAACTAAGAAACCAACAAAACAACACTAGTATGAAACAAACAAAACCACCCAGATATATTCTTTAGGTTACATAATCTTCCCAAAGTTAAACAGAAGCAGTATGTTTCCCATATTTTCAACTTAAGATCAGTCCGTATTTGAATCATTCTTCTAACTCAACACTTTTCACTTCCTTTTTATTGTGATTCTCACATCAAGCTTTTCTGTGTTTTAAGATAATTTCAATTTATTGTAAAACAGGTTAAGAAAAAAGTTCCATGGAATGGCAGAAATTGAGAGACAGTATCACGACCTTCAGTCAGCACCTGAGGGTGCTGGATAGCACAGGAGGAAGAGAAAATGCAATGATACAATGGATCACTTAGTTCTTCCTAAAAGGCAAAGGCCAGGAATTAGGAACATTCTACCGAATAGAGAGCACAGTGAGGGCTCAAAAGGCTACTACAGTCCTGTACTCTTATCCCAGCCCTTAACATAGTATCTTGTCACCTGAAAGTCATATTCATTGAGTGAGTAAATTAAATAGAAATGTTCCTGAGAGAATTACAAGATCTGAACATCCACTGTCTACTGTGATGGATAAGAGCTTAAAGGTATTTAGTACTGAAATTCTGTACTTCTCTAGAGACTTTAAATTTGTGTTGGCACTGTACACCATAGTAAACAACTGCATATAGTATTCAATAGAGAATATACAGACAATGTTTCCAGACTTGTAGATTATCTGGGCAGGAGAGAGTTTTGTTGTAAATATTAAGAATGCTTGTGTTACTTAAATACACGTCTTTTCGACAATGAAGTATTTGGGGAAATCAAAAAATGCATTAGTTTATTGTAATAATACACAAAAAGACAAGTACTCTAACTGAAATAATTATTCTGGGAAATCTGCCTGGACTATATTCTAGAAGCTTGGAACTATACTGGGGGGGGGCGACTAAAAGCTGAAGAAACAGTATGTGGGAAAAGATCCTACAGAGGGGGAGAACGTTGGATGAGAAATTATTATTAAATCAATTATTAAGCCATTGGGAACTGGAAAAAACATGGATGATAAACAGCACTGTTCTGTTTTGCAATTGCTTGACCTGATGGCGAGTCAGATAAAATTACAGCGCTCCCAACAGTGACTAAGGAGTCCAGCAATGGAGATCTTAGTGGAAGTGGCATGTTACGACCTGAGGTACTACTCCAGGCTTCTGCAGCCGGCCTTGTTTGGGCTTCAGGAAGTGAGGGGAAAAAATTACTCCCCCCGAACAAGCTTCAGCCTATATTTAATAGTGCTGAAGACAGAATTCAGCAAATACTGGGTGACACCCGACACCGGAGCACTGACGGCGGGCGCCCCCGCTTTCCTCACCTGGGAACACCTGACTTCTCACTGGGAGATGGAGTCTACAGCCCTCGGACTCTGGCACAGCCCAAGCCCAATGGCCGAGGCCAGCGAGGCCACAGGGGACTGCGTGGTCACGTGGTCCCCGCCCCACTTCCCTCGGCCCTCGGCGGGCCGTTGGGTCCAGTCGGGAGGCCCTTACCCATGTGCTGTGTGTCCAACTGGACGGCCGGCATCTCCTTGAGAGGAATGTGGCCAGTGCCGCCGTCCCTGCAGCAGCGCAGGCAGCACCACGCCGACGCGGCCATGGCGCAGCTACACAGCCCCGCCGCTCCGCCCGCGCCCGAGTGCTTCTGGGTCGCGGGAGCTTCGCAGCCCGCACAGCGACGCCCGGGCCGGGAGGCGAAGCGGAGGCTGAGGCGAGGCCCCCCGGCGAAGAAGCGAAGACCGCCCGAGGGGGCGGGGCGTTGTAGGAAGTGGGCGGGGCTAGCTGGATTAAAAGAGGGTGTGGCGGGTGGGCAGGGCGGTGTAGAGCGCTGAGCAGTGCCCCCGGCTTGACTGACTGGAAGAGGGCGGGGCCAGTGGCATGACGGATGGAAGGAGCGGTCTGTGTTTCTAAACTGGGCGTGGCCAGAGGCCTGACTGACTTGGGGTGGGCGTGGTGGCGTGCGCAGGCGTACTGCGGCGTCATCCTCAGCCCTGAGGCTGGCAGGTGACTGGCGTAGCTGAGAGTCGCCGGTGTTCCCTGAAGCTGTGATTCTGTTGTTGGTTTGGTTTTGCGACGGGGCCTTCTGTGCTACCTAGGGTCTGAAACTCCAGCCCTGACCGCCTCAGCCTCCGTAGTAGCTCCGCTACTCGGCGCGCTACTGGTAGCTGCCCGGGGGCGGCTCCGCAGTGATTTTTAGGGCGGGTTGATATTAGCAGATCTCCTTTGGGGAAGGAGCTAATAAAACGCCCGAGAGTTGTCCCTCGGAACGCCCCGGCTCTCCGCACCCTGCCACGCTGACTCCGACGCCCTGGCCTGTGGATGTGCGACGAGGCTCTTAGCATTTTGCATGCACCGGCGTTTATCGCTGGGCTGATTGCTGCGTGGACCCAAGACTTGCAAGCGGTCACCCTTATGAGAGGACCATGAAAAGCGGAGACAGGGCCGGAAGACGACTTTTTAAAAAGTTATTACTGTATATGCGTGCTCATGATGTGCGTTCAAGTTGCTCTCGAGCCATAGCGAGGTCCAAGGACAACTCTCAGAAAGAGGTTTTCTTCCCCCACCTTGGGGTTCTGGGGATCGAACTCAGGTCTTCAGACTTGCTTTATGGTCAGACCATCTTGCTCAGTTCTCTGGTGCACCAATGGTTCCTAAAAGTGTGACAGGACTCCTCGGAGACAGGGTGAAGAGAAACTCAGTTCTTACTAGGGTCTGCTGTTTCCTGTTACCATATAGAAGGAAGGCCCCAGTCATGGTCACTTGGTACCTGCCTGTCGTTTAGATTATCCTTCAGACACCATCTGGTTTCCCAATAGAATCTGTCTCAAACCTCTCTTCCAAGATAAAGTTTCCACCTGAAAGTTTTCTGGGTCTCCATCAAATCCTGGGAAACTGAACATAAATTCCCAATTCTTAAGTAATTGTTTCCCATTCAAAACTTTTTAGTCACCTGAGTATAAATAAATATACTTTATGGAGATTTTTAGCCATAGAATGAGGGAAAATTTCAGTCTTTGGTCTCTTCTATTTAAAAAATATTTTTAGGGCTGGAGAGATAGCACATCGATTAAGAGCACTGGCTGCTCTTCCAGAAGAGCAATTCAATTCCCAGAAACCACATGCTTTCACAACTGTCTTCAACTCCAGTTCCAGGGTATCCGACATCCTGAAATACCAATGCACATTAAATAAATAAATAAAAATAAATAAATAAATAAATAAATAAATACTTTTATTATAATACTAAGGAAAATATCCAAGGCTTGTTTGTACTTTGAGACTTAGTTATTACAGAATTAATATCCAAAGTAATTGCTAAAATGACTGAGGGTTATCCCTCTCCCTAATTGCCTCTATATCTATGAGGTAATCTCTTGGTAATTCTCTGCCTCTCCCTCTCTCTTCTTCCCTCCTTCCCTCCCCGCCTCTCTCACACAGACACACACACACACACACACACGACAGAATTTTTGCAACATTTTAAGCTCAATACTGTCCCTACTTTATAGATGAAGAAATGGATTAAATGACTGTGTAGTTTCACAAGGGAAGAAAATATAGAAAGTAGGATACAAAACCTGGGGGTTCTGACTCCAACCCTGTATTTACTTCACCAGATCTTTTTGCATCTCAGATTTAAAATTTTAAACTTAAAGTTACAACCCTCTAAAAATACTCAGAGTGCAGATTTGCACTTCATTTTGCCTGTTTTATTAGTCTCCACATTAGACAATCTGCTATAACATATGTAAAGAGTAAAATTTGTTTTATAAACCAAACCTGTTGCTTAGAAATGTTATTAAAGGTAGTACATTGTTAGGTATTTAATAATCTGTCACATCTTTAATTAAGGACCATTAAATGGCTGTGACTAGGCCACTAGTGTAGAGAGGCAGGAATCCCAGTCTTTCCTGGTTGGAAAAGTCATTTGTTAGGGCACTACCCAACATACTTTGCCCTTACTAACCGAAACTCAGGTGCACTCAGCAGAGTGAAGCAAACAAAACCGGTTTGTTCCTGAAACAGAAGTCCCAGTCTTGGCAGGTGAAGGCGGATGAGCTCATGGACTTGCTTATATTTGGCTTCTATTCTTTATTACTTTCAAAGGTGTTACCAGTTCTTTTTGAAAAGCAGCTATTCTGACAGTCTTTCACTGTCACTTTAAATAACAATCATAAATAAAGCCTATAAAAGAAGGTTCTCAGCAGTTAGAGAGTCGTTTATCTAAGTCAAAAGCAATAACAAAGAATGTCTAACAGGCAAAAACATCTGTCTGCATCGTCGACCTGAGCTCTGAGCCCGTGAGCTGCCGGGAGTGTACAGCATGTGGCTGACAGCTGGCTTTAAACAGGCTCGGGATTTTCTTCGATGGTATTTGTGGAACACAGGCATCTATTGAGTGTCACACTGTGTACTGGATCATAAAAAATGTTTTCTTAATATTGTTTTTTTTTGTTTTTGTTTTTTTCCGAGACAGGGTTTCTCTGCATAGCCCTGGCTGTCCTGGAATTCACTCTGTAGACCAGGCTGGCCTTGAACTCAGAAATCCGCCTGCCTCTGCCTCCCAAGTGCTGGGATTACAGGCATGCGCCACCATCGCCCGGCATGTTTTCTTTGTTTTTTTTTTTTTTTTTTTTGGTTTTTCGAGACAGGGTTTTTCTGTGTAGCCCGGGCTGTCCTGGAACTCACTCTGTAGACCAGGCTGGCCTCGAACTCAGAAATCCTCCTGCCTCTGCCTCCCAAGTGCTGGGATTAAAGGCGTGCGCCACCACCGCCCGGCCAACCGGCATGTTTTCTTAATATTAATATAATCATTTATTGGGCTGGAGAGATGGCTCACTGGTTAAGAGTACTATCTGCCCTTCTGGAGGTCCTGAGTTCAATTCCCAGCAACCACATGGTGGCTCACAACCTTCTGTAATGAGATCTGATGCCCTCTTCTGGTGTGTCTGAAGACAGTGACAGTGTACTCACATACATAAAATAAATCTTTAAAGAAAAAAAAAAAAGAAAGAAAACATTTATCACACATGGAGCAGAGGATGGCCTTATCTGACATCAATGGAAGGGGAGAGAGGCTTGATGCCCCAGCACAGGGAATGCTAGAGGCTGGAGGTGGGGATGGGTGAATGGGTGAAGGAACACCCTCACAGAGGAGAAGGGGGGGATGGAATGGGGGGTTTGTGGAGGGGAAACCGTGAAAGGGGGATATCCTTTGAAATGTAAAGGCATAAAATGATTAATATAAAAAAATCATGTTGCGGTAAATCTCCAACCCAAATGCCTATGTGCAATGAAAACACAACTCAATTAATATAAATACAAGCTTCTCGCATGGATTGGGCAGATCTACCACTACACCACTGTATTCCCCAGCTATGAGATCCCTTATAAATAACTTGCAGTTTCTCCAGGCCACGTGCTTCTCCTCCATTGTCCTTCCACTCCTCCTCCATCTTCCTCTTTCTCCTCCCTCTCCTTGTTCTCCCTAAAATTTTTCAGCTCTACCTTCCGTTCCACTGCCCAATCACTGGCTCTAGCATTTATCTTACAAGTTAAAATGGGGAGAAGGTTCTCACGAAGTCACCCGAGTACATGACTCACTCCTCCCTCCCTCGGCCCAGGCGGCCCCTCTTGGGGATGTGGAATTAGCATCAAAAAACAAATAGCCCCAGGGCTACCCACACAAAATCATTCATCAGTTTTTACATTCCTGAACTAATCCAAACTATATTTTTACTCTCTGTGGGAAAATATTATTCTTTATTTTGCAGATGAGGAATCTGAGAAGAAGAGAACATAAAAAGTGCAGCTAATGTCCCATTCCGTGAGGGATGACACTGCATTCAACTCATGCACTTTGTCTTTTATGCCTATATGCATAGGTGCTATGTAAACTACCTCCCCTAGAGTATTCACCAAACCAGCTCAGTCAACAGGTTCTCCAGGAAGGGCTCAGGGATTAAAAAGCAAAAAGACAATTAGACAACACTGTAGCATGGCCCAGCCAGTTCTGAGGCTGAGGCAGGTTTTTTTGTTTTTGTTTGTTTGTTTTTGTTTTTTTGAGACAGGGTTTCTCTATGTAGCCCTGGCTATCCTTGAACTCACTCTGTAGACCAGGCTGGCCTCAAACTCTTAAACTTAGAAATGCGCCTGCCTTTGCCTCCCAAGTGCTGGGATTAAAGGCGTGCGCCACCACCGCCTGGCTTACTTTTTTTTTCCAGTCTGCTTTTATACCATTTGAATTACATGCAGATAATAAGGTCAGTTCTAGGTAAGGAACAAACAAGGTACTAAACACAAATAGTCAAGGAACAAGCAAGACAATAAACAAAGTCCTGTGATCACTGTTTCTAGGGGCTTATCTGGATGACCAAGATATCTGAACCTACTTCCTATCCTAACCCAAAGTCTTGCCTGAAGCCTACTTCCCTGTCCTAATCCAATGCCAAGTTTCTAGAAGTGGCCCCCAAAGCTCTACACAGTATACAATATTTAAGAATACATTCTATCATTGTTTAACTGTATCCAAGGGTCTCACATGTTTGAACACTAATCCCTCCCCCTACTGGGTGTTTGGGTTTAGGAGTTTGTAGAACCTTTGTGACTGACCTCCATAGCAGAAGTAGGTTTCATGTGGGGGCACATGAAGGTGATAGGCATTTC